AAATGAAATTCTAAACCTTTTTAAAGAACGGGCCATAAAATTGAAACCCAAAATCAAAATTTCAAACCCTTAAAAAGAATTTTCCATAAAGATTGAAACACAAATCGAAATCTCAAACCTTTTTAAAGATTTTTTTGACAAAATTTCAACATTTTATAAAGAATTGGCCATATATGAAAACTGAAACCCAAACCAAAATTTTAAACCTTTTCAAAGAAAAATTTCCATAAAATCGAAACCCTAATCAAAATTGTAAACCTTTCATTTATAAGTATTTTCCATAAAAGATCAAACCTTTTGAGCAAAAGGTTGAGGCATGAGAGATCTTAAGACAGAGAGATGTTGATTCATTTGTCTTCTACGATTTCTTTCGACGGCAATGTGAGTCATTCGTTGATTCTCAGCTTCTTCTTCGTTTTTGCAAACCCTAGGCTTCCTCCTCCTCCGTTTCTTCCCTCGATTAGCCGCAGATGGTGGTCGCGGCGGCGGTGGTGGTTCTTGATGTTGAGATATCGTCGGAATTGTGTTCTTGGAGACGATGACGTCATTTTCCGGCGATGGCTCGAGATCGACGAGAGACTTGAACGGAGTTGGTGAAAGAGTTTCGGAGAGTAAGAAGTTTAAGAGACCGTTTGATGATAAAGCTTCTAGTGTCATTGCTCTTCACGACGTTTATTCCTTATTGAATTACTAAGTATCATTGATTTATATAGCAACATTCCAAATCGATTATTTTATTTTGAAAAAAAAGATCTAAACTTTTTGTGGGGGAAAACGACATTTTCAGGAAAAATAAAGGGAAATGATTAAAAAAAGGTGACAAATGTTGAAGCTCTGAGTTCTCTGAGTGCGTACATGTGAGACATTATTTGATTTTGATTTTGATCGGTACTATCATGGAATTGTAGGGATTATGAGACAAATAAATCTAATTATTACTAACCCAACTATATAAGGATTGCAAGACTTTTTTTTGTTGGAGTTAGATGTTTGGCCGCTAATTAGATTTTTGGTTGTGAGATATTTTAGAGAGATGTATCGGTTTAATTTTCTATAAGCTTTATAACCAATTAATCGAAAAAGAACTTCAGTTACTATTTCCAAAAAAACTTAATAATGTAATTTGCTTGACTACACGCACGCTTCTTTGCTTTATCCTTAGATTATTTTGTAGAAAAAAGCGAGAAAACATAAATTGGCTGTTTAAAAATTTTCTGGGTACAAATGGTTACGACTTACGTCTTATACGAACCAAACAAAATACAGTAACTATTGGCATAGGATACTACACATTTGATAAAGACATGCAAAGTTAGTTAAATTACATAATCATTTTGTTGTTTACACATGTTACTGGAGTATTTGGTGATCTCGGCTAATTTCTTAAAAACCTAAGTTCCATGTAAAAGTCATATTGATTTCTCAATATACAAAAAATATACTATCATGTATCATTTGCATTGATGAAACCATATGAATTTATAGAAATTTATACATGGAAGTTGACAATTGGACTGTAGCGTGGAAGTTGACAATTTAGGTTCAAGACGTAAATTTATAGAAATTTCGGATGCAGTTTCTTTGTCGAATAATTGGACTGTACGTACGTGAAACATTTCGTGTCCATTCAGACATCATAAGCTGGTAAAACGAAGAAGTTTGCGCATCCATCATATTAGTTGGACAAAAGTCGAATCATC